TTGGCGCATAGAACCGAGCCATAATATTTCGGATTTTGCTTGGTTTATTTTTAGACCTGAGCACTTTTCGAAAAGTGAGAGTAAGTCAAATAGATTGGAAACTGACTGGACATCAGCAAGAAGGGCAGTTGTATCATCTGCATATTGTGTAAGCTTAACTTCTTTATTCTCCTGTATTGTGATGCCTTTTATTTTTTCCGATCGTCTAATACTTTGCGCAAGAAGCTCCATAGCCATAACAAATAATATGCCGGAAAGTGGACAACCTTGTCGCACGCCGCGTTCTAGATAGAAGTGTTTCGATGCGTGTCCGTTATTCACAACACAACTGGAGATATCTTTGTAAAACACGCTAATCCAATGTCGAAGGTTTGGACCAAAATTAAACGTTTCGAGGCAATTTTGGATAAAGTCCCATTCGATTGAGTCAAAGGCTTTTTCGAAGTCTAAAAACACAGCTACTCCTGGGATACTCTTCCGTTTAGTGAAGTCCATTATGTCTGCTATTAACCTAATACTTTCCCCAATGAATCTTCCTTTTACGTAACCAGATTGACAAGGGTGGATTATGCTCGGCAAAAGTTTTTCCAAGCGAAGAGCAATAGTTTTTGTTGAAATTTTATAGTCCACATTCAGAAGCGATACTGGTCTCCAATTCTTTAAATATTCGGCATTCTTTTTCTTTTTGGAATTAAAGAAATAATCCCTTGACGTTGAGAAATGGAGAGACTTCCGTTTTGAAAGGCATAATTAAAGCTTTCTACCATATATGTGCCGACTTCATTCCAAAAATAACGGTAAAATTCAGAGGTGAAACCATCTGTACCCGGAGTTTTTATTGTTTTCCATAAGCTTTAACGCACACTCACATTCATCAACGGACATAGCGCCTTCGCATGTTTCCGCGATCTCGTCTGATAATGTATATTCCGTTTCAAAGAATTCGTTAAAATCAGGGTTCATATTTTTTGACGTGTATATCTGTTTATGACAAGACATATAACACATATAACAAGACTCTGTTATGTGTTATTCCAATACAGCTATGTCACAGGTTCCAATGTCTTTTCATAGTCCATTTATTGTTTTCTGAGTTCTATTCTTTGCATCTTCCAGTAAATTCAGTAGAAAACAGTCATGGACCTTTGATTAACATCAAATATTCCTGAAAATAAAAGGCGTCCTATGTCTTTATGGACAAAGTGATTAGTTTCTAATGAAACTGTGGTGCTGCGTCGGCGGGCAAGTGAAACACTATGTTGATTATCAACTCTATGTCTTTATGCTAAATTTAAAAGATTTTGGAAGGTCCCCGACTGGAAACTGAGTGTCGAGATGGCTTAATGGTTAGCACATTGGACAGTGGCACGGGTTCAGTGGTCAGTGGTCAGGGTCACTGTGTTGTATTCTCTGACAATACATTATACTTTCCAGGGCCGTAGCTAGAATTTTTTGAATGGGGGGGCAATGAAGCGAGTGCCGAAGGCGCGAGCCGCTAGGGGGTCTGGGGGCATGCTCCCGCAGAAAATTTTGAAATCTAGAGGCTCGGAAATGCTATTTTCAGCATTCTCCATGAGATATTTTGTCAAAAAATCAATTTCGATCAAGTGTAAAATGACAGGTATTTTTAGTGCTTACAGCAATATTTCCGGGTTTTGTTAACTTGATACATACCGTATATCGGCCTTAGTACACTAAACATTAGTCTATTTCGTGTGTAAAAGATGTCTCCAGTTGGATTTCCGCTCCAAAATATATTTCTCAATCAATCGTAAATGTTCAAGTTAGTATGGTACCGGACAGTCAAAATATAACTACTTACTTAGTTACCTAAGAAGTAAGAAGTTCTCGCCTCTTCGTTTTCCATCATCTTGATTTAATATGCCGAGCAAAATCTGGGGAGAGTACCAAGCCTTTGAAATGTTCAATCTTGTTTTTGAAAGACCCTCGGCGTATATTTTTATCAAGAAGGCGGCTGTTTGAACGCGAAAAAAAACATACGCAGTTTTCGTTTTTCAGAAAGCATTACCCATTCTTGGGGGGGGCAACTGCCCCCCTTGCCCCCCCGCTAGCTACGGCCCTGCTTTCACAGTGCTCTCTCCACCCAAGAGTATAAATGAGTACTGGCGAATTGCTAGGGCGGCGAATTGCTCCGGCAGTACAGACTTAGCCTGCGTAGCAAGCTCTCTGGGGCGAGGGGTGGTCTGTACTAGCTTGCTACGCAGGCTAGTACAGACTTTACTAGCTTTCTCGCAGGCTAATCAACTGTATGCGAACCATGGGCAATTTTTAATACACCGTTTTCCTTTTCAATCAGGATCAGATGACAACAACCTCAACTCTATTGTCTATGAACACCTGACACGGTCCCTTCAGCACAGCCTGTGTGGGGACCTTATGATGGGCCGTTGGGGCCCCTTTTCCACAGGGGACTGTTTCGTGTTGGCGTCAGACTATTTGAATGCTTTGGTTCACATCATAGAAGTTGGCAATGGTCTGGTAACCTTTCAGGTCCGAGGGTTGGAGTTCAGAGGTGAGACTTACAACTGTAGTTACATAGTTGTTAATTTTTTCAACACTATTATTGAGCCAATACAGTCAACTCTAGTTATAGCGGACACCCTCGGGACGTAGTTTGGAGTCCGTAATAGCGAGAGTCCGCAATAGCGGGAGTCATTTTCAGTCAAACCTCTAGAGCTTTCGCTGGAGGGAGGGCTGGATTTTATCCGTTATAGCGGGTGTCCGTAATAACGGGGTGTCCACAAGCCGAGAGTTGACTGTATCTAGAACTGGAGAAAAAGTAAAAAAGAACAGATTGATATCTAAAACAGAAACTACACTTCAGCATTATATGGGTATGGGAAGAAAAGCGTACTCCGTCATAATTAGAAGTAAATATATCAAACACGAGAGACAGTGTTTTATCCGATTTCCAAACACCGAGAAAAGAGTTGAAAATACGACGCGTAGCGGAGTATTTCTGACGAAATTCGAGGTGTTTGGAAATCGGATGAAACACTGTCTCGAGTGTTTGATATACCTTCTCAATCCAAACAAAAGCTAAGGAGTAAACGGAGAAATAAAATATTAAAAATCTATGCTAATTAAGACCAGCTATCCAAACCAATGGTTATGATTTCCTTCGTTTTAACTTGATTAATTATTAATGAGTTTGAGAATGTTATGTCCAAAGCCATTCCTCGAGGATTTACCAAACTGTCGAATTTTAAAACGAAACTAATAGGTACCCCCCAAAGACTCCACGACCAAGTTGTTCCAGCTGGAACAGTATCCTAAATTGTAATGTATTATTTACAAGTTTGTTCTTTCTCCAGGCACGTACTGTCATAGCAGCGAGAAGTTGAAGCCATCACCGAGGGAGTCGAAGATGATGATGGTTAGTCCGTTTTGGTTTGCTCTGTGTGTGCCTCTGTCTTGGCTTATTCCCTTTGACACTCAACTCGTTTTTCGAGTAACATTTTATGTTGTTGTTGTTGTTTTTATTTCTGGGCCAATCAAATTTAATTTATTTGCACATACGGTGTTTGTCTCTTTGATTGCCTGAGAAGTTTGAGGAAAAAAAGCAACAATAAACAACAGAACGATGTAAAAGATTGTAAAACCTAAAAAAAAGACAATTCCATGGTAAAATTCGCCAATTTGAAAATGCAGCAAATGTGGAAACGGTAAAACGACCCGTAGGGATACTGCTGAGTATACAGCTGTTTCGAGAAAGGTTGTCGGAAAAAGTCCACGCGACAATCCCGAAAGGTATTGTGGGTAGTTTTAAGTTCACGGTTCCTTGACTTCAGCATTTCAGGGAAATCTGAGAAAATGGCACGAGACGCCATGGACGTATGTTTGCGAGTGCTAAAAGAATGCAAGTTGATTCGACAGCTACAGTGTCAGGAACGTACCTTACTGATCCTATCCCAGATTACCTTTCGGGATTGTCGCGTGCGCTTTTTTCCGACAACCTTTCTCGAAACAGCTGTATAACGGCTTATCAAGGCATGGATAAATGTTTTTACCATTAATTAGTTGGTGTCGAATTATTGATGTTGCTTCTTTCTTCACTCCTAATCCTTCTGTTATTTGTAGGTTGTTGTTGCTGTGAGCCGGGTCATCTTCCCAACATGCTTTCGTTGAATGCAGCGTTCTTTCAGCGGTGGTTAGCATGGGAAGTAAGCGCGACCAAGTACATCATTGAAGGTTACAGCATCAGTGACAACTCCGCGGCATCCATGTTACACGTGTTTGACCTGCGCAAGATTCTAGTCACTTTACTATGTGAAGGTGAGGCGAGGAAACTAGTAGGACTTAAGCGATGTAAACAAGGCACATTTTCCTGCAACGTTTTTCTCGCAATGTTGTTGTAACACAAGTTGCACGAAAAATTGCCTACTGTAACACAACCTGAAACTGAACTCGTCTCGTAACGTCTCGTAAATGTCTCGTAACGTTTTCGTTGCAGCAAGCGTTGCACGAAGTAGAATAAAGTTATGCTTTTACAAAGATTAAGGTAACGCTGCAGCAAATGTTTTATGCGTTGCCTGGGGCTGTTACACAAAGCAACGTCTCGTGCAGCTTGTCTAGCAGGAAAAATTGCGTAGTGTAACCGCGCCTTTATGTATGATTACGTCCGTTGCTCGAAATTCACCACCACGCCTCGTTTACACGACATTCTTCTCAACCTCTGACACTTTCATACTGTTTTGATGTGGATATTTTCATATTTTTCTTCTTTGGGAATTCGTTCATGATAACTTTACAAAGTGAGGCTTGTGCGTGGAATTAGCTACAATCGTGGTCAAAACTGTTGAGACACTTTACCAAATTTCAACCAATTTGAGTACTGCAGCCAATTTGTTTAATCATAAAAGTGATTAATATGAATAAAATCATATATGAACTGGGGATGAAGAATGTAAAGTGAAGAAATCATCCTCAGAGTTGTGTTTGCAATTTAAGCAATTGCAAAGAAGCCTGAAAAAAATTCAGGGCTTCAACGGGAATCGAACCCATGACCTCCGTGTCGCCGATGCGATGCTCTACCAACTTAGTTATGAAGCCACACATTGGGAGCAGGGTCTATTGTGACTTCATAACCCCTTTATACGACCAGTTTGTATGTAACAGAAATCGCTTAAAATAGCGCGGCCTACATATTCTTGGGTTTGCTACTGACGTCATCGCCGCCATGTTGGTGACCTTTTATTGTTTGTCATCCAACATGGCCGCCAGGGTCTTTGTCATTTGAATCTCTCGCGAATGGTTGGCAAACAGCAGCAGCAGTGCATCGTGAAGAAATTAGCCTAAATCTTTCAAGTTCATCGTTTGCAATCCATCTTAATCTTCTCCATCCTCACCCATCCTTGTTCCTGTTTGGTTTATTATTACCTCTTTGGTGTTTTTCTACCTTTTAAGGCTTTCGTCAATTTGAAGGTGATTTTGTACTTCGCAAAAATGACTTAACTATTAATCGCTTCTTGATTTCCTTGTACAGTCTGTAATATTCTACGCAGTACAGTCATACCCTAAGCTGGATCAGTGGTTACGCAGTGAGATTATACGCAGCAGCAGCTGATCGCTGTACACGACGTACAGTACGTGGACTCATAGATAGCACCTGTTTATCACAATATTGACGAGATTTACGATCTACGACAGGGCGGCATCTCCAAATCCAGCTTTCTGAGCTGTTACTCTGGCCTTAGCTGATTCAATACTGCGCTTTACGGAAGGACCGAGTCAGTAAATGATCACAGCTCAACTGGAACCTAGCGTTGCAATGAATTCAGGTAATCCACTTGTCTGTAGTGATATAATCCCGCATTAGCCTGCTTTGCCAAGCTATTTCCAATCCAAATGTTACAGATACTCCTTCTCACTGGCACATATTGCTACGGAAACCAGCACAAAGTTCCAGTTTGATGATACGCATTGGGGAGAAGCAGTGGAGAGACTTGGTGGCCTAATGGTTAGCGCGCTGGGGGGACTGTGGATCGAGCGGTCTGGGTCTTGAGCGCTGGCCGGTGCCGTCACTGTGTTGTGGATACCTGTGTTGTGTGAACTCTTAGGGCAACCTAACAAATTGCTGGGAGGGAGCGGGGGGGGGGGGGGGTTGACTAGCGATACTCCTAGTCACCTCGTGCTATGCGAAACCGGAATTATGCACAGACAGACTTTAAACCTTGATATACGCCACTAGGCTCAGAAACAGACTTTATAACGCTCAAAGGAAGAGACTAAAGGACTTTCAAGAATCGCAGGTTAAAGAATTGTGGAAGAGTCATTGGTTGTCAATGGATTTAATATTATAACTTTCTGCAATATGCTTCTAGTGTATAAATCATACTGATTTCTCCACAAATGTTTGCCAATGTTTCAGCCCATTTCCTTGTTGAAAGAGATTCTTTACTGGTCACTCTGTGTTTTCCATTGCTCTGTTTGTTGGCGAGAAGAGCATTGGGGACAGCTTCACATCCCACAGCTCTGCCAGGTAGGGACAGATTCAACATGTAAATTCTCATTACTATATCAAATCACATTACCAAGTAAAACAGGTGACGAGGGAATAAAGAAAATCATCAGCTGGGAAGATACACCTTGATGTGCTACCAAATGTCCTCACAAACTAACTTGTAAAGAAATTATATAAAGATAAGCTTAGGAGAATTTATATTTCGCGCTTCGTTTCATTTCCTTCCAGCCTGGAGTCGTTTTTATACGGCGCGACACGCGCTGTTCAAAGGAGATCATTTCCGAAATCACTGACCCCCAAGGACGAGTTGGCGGGGGTTTATTGTTGTTTGCTGATATTTCGTAATGCGGGATCTTCTACGAAAGGTCACGTTTCGTCGCACCTTGGAGTCACGCATGTCTACACTCAAAAACCATACAAGTTTCAGGTAAGAAAAGATTTGCTGGGTCGCCAAAACAAAAAAAGAATAGATAACTTAAAGCTAAACCTGTTCGCTCCTTAAAATGCTTTTACAAAACATCCTGAATATGGCGCACACGTTAATAAGTGGCTTGAAATAGACGCTACAAAAACCTACAAAATTAGTGCATCCAGTGTTCATTTGTTCGATATGCTATGAGAGGTAATATATCAAACACGAGAGCCAGTTGGTAGGTTTCCATCCGATTTCAAAACACCGAAGAAGAGAGCTTGAAACTACGACGGTCGGCGGAGTATTTATTGACGAAATCGAGATTTCGAGGTGTTTAGAAATGTTACGAAACACTGTCTCGAGTGCTTGATATATACTTCTCAATCGAATATAAAAACTAAGGCGTAAACGGAGAAAATAAAGTCGTAAGATCTGCCCTAATTAAGACCAGCCTATCCAAACCTCCAACACGTTTATGATTTCGTTTGTTATGACTTGGTTAATTATTAATGAATTTTGAGAAGTTTATAGATCACTTTTAATTTTGTTTATATCATCCGCTTGAAATAAACCGTTTGCTTTGTTTTTTTTTTTTTGTTTTTGCCCCTTTTTTGGTTTAAATCAGTTCGTAATTTCAAAAATTCCTCATCTTCCCTATATATCCACATCCCACACGCTTATTTTAACGAACAACAACATAGAAAATAATTGTTTATTAGTTTGTAGACTGAGTAAAATGGAACGTCCTTCTAGGTTAGAAGGACTTCAACCTTTAACTTGTCTTGTTTTCAACGGATCACTTCACCTCTCCTGATGAGTACGAGGACCTTCCAGTTCTGTACGATGCTATCTCATCTCACGAGCTAAACCCATGGTCATCTCACATGAGGGCGATCCAGAAATGGCGAACAGGCACGTACTTGCTAAACACCGATCTCCTTGCTGGGGCCTCAGGTCAGGTGGAAGATAAAGCTTAGAACAGGCCATTTCCGAGTTGCCTTTTGCTCTGTTTTCAAAAACGAGTCCTGGTCCACAGAACCATTCATATGAAAATGAGTTTTACTTGTTTATCACGTTGGAACCTAAAGGCAACTCGAAGAAATTGCCTATTTTAAAACATAACCAGTAGAGATTTAAACAAAAATATTGCAATATCGGCTCATCTCCATGAAAGTTAGATGTGGTTTGTTATCGCAACAGAAAGCTGTGCTTTCACGTTTAGCACTGGCATGCCAATTAAAATTAAACTCCATTTTAGTTTTAGAATTTGCTGTTTTTCACATTATACATGCATTAGCGGATAGCATGCGGGTTACAGCTTTGGTGATTTTTCAAGTGGTTTAGTTTTTTTTGTAGCTTGAAATGCCTATAATTGAAACCTCTTCTTAGAGTAACCTTTTTCCATAACCATAACCAGAATGTTGGTCCTGACCTCACACGGACACTACATTATATACCACCATAAGGGGACACCTCATGAAGGGCATCTCCATAAGGCGAGCACAACACAGGCGTTACATAAGCTGGCCTCTGTGGTGGGTCGTTGTCTGCATACGACTATACGTATGTGAAAACAGCGGTTTAACAAACTGCTTAAACGATTTGAAACAATCCAAAAAGGATCAGGGTAGGGAAGCGATGAGGCGTAAGTATATAGTCAAACACGAGAGTGTTTTTCATCTGATTTCCAAACGCCGAGATAGAGAGTTGAAATTACGGACGCGTAGCGGAATATTTTTGACGGAATAATTAAGTGGTGTTGGAAATCGCGATTGAAACCACTTTCTCGATTCTCCGATCGAAGCAAAAACGTAAAGGTGTTAAACATAGTAGAAAATCAAATCGTTAAAAATCTCTGCTAATTAAGACCGGGTTTATCCAACCTCCTGAGACTGTTTTGGATTTCCTTTGTTAATAACTTGGGTGAATTATTAATGGAGTTTTGAGAAGAGGTAGAAAACCTAATCCTGTACTGTTTTTGTAT